ATAAATCATTGATCTAGTTTCGAGGCTAGCCTAGATCTAGATCTTATACAGTGGCGTCCAAAAGAAACTTGAAAACATGATCACTCAATCATCGTGTTAAAGCTTCGCATTACCTACTCATGCAGCATACCAATTAAAGCTAAAAATTCTGAAATTCTGCATCATCTGACACTTTAATTGTTCATCTATGTTTAGAGGCGCCCTAGATAGGGTCACTCAGAACTGAGTCAAAACTGACATTAAAAACAGGCTTGGCAAAATTGTGCGAAATCAAAGAAACGTTAAATTGTCTTTGCGCGTATATTGAGGAGCATCAATATATTGATAGAGTGGACATACATTACATGCCCAATGAATGGAGAATTTTGTATTGCCACGAACAATCCACGCAAAACTTGGATTTAACTTTAAATGAGCTCTTTCTTATTTTGCTTAGGAGCCATTAGTTTTGTGTAGTGCACGAACCCTTTGGGTCTCAACTCTGTTACGGTTTGAACATAATTATCCGTCATTCCATCCCAAATGTCACAGTTGCAAACAAAGGGTCTGGATTGGGAGAAAAGTCGCTTTTCTTCTGCTGCGACTTCACTCTTCACATACCTGTTGGATTCATCAATGCTATGGATTTACTGGTGACCACTCCAACGTCGATTTGATCTGGTTTTCCGAGAATGATCTAGGCTAGTGGCATTGGCCCTTTGAGAAAGTTCTTTGCTATGCATGGAGATGTCTACTTGAATGCAACCATGACGAAAATAAGGGAAAGACATGACGTTCCAGCTCTTGCGCGATGTAGTCCACGAGACCAAGCCATTCAGTGATTCTCATTAGGACGGTTTTGTTCATTCCACCCTAGACCACCCAAAAGCCAAGGCAGTTTCGAGGCCTCTGATCTTCACTGACAGCTGATTGTGTCCAAAATCTTACTAAAATAGTCCATGTGCAAAAAAGGTTTCGTACTCGACACGAAACCATAGGCTCCTAAACCAAAACAAAATTAACCCAGGCTTTGTTTGATTTTTGTAACTGCTCTATTCTCCAATCTGTTTGAAAATATTATCAGAGGATGCTGTTCATTGCAAGGACAATGATATTCTCTTTTCATTTGATGTTCAATACACGTTCATTCTACCAATGTTAATGCACTTCAATATTCGTTAGAACACACTTTTGCGTTTCTCTGATTTCGCACAATTTTGCCAAGCCTGATTTTTTAAGGTCACTCTTGAGTGGCCATGTCTTGAGCGTCTTTTAACATAGATGAAATATGAATGCGTCAGATGATACAGAATTTACTCAGCTTTAAACTATTATGCTGCATGAGCGGGTCCTCACGTGCACTCTTGCCAAGTGCGCGTCAGAGAAAGATGTGCCCGCATTCCTGAATATCACGACCTTCGGTGGTATTCACTGTGAATCCGAGAGACATCAAACGTTTAACTGCTCGAAGGCGTTGTCCGCAGCCATGAATCATGTTTGAAACTAAAATTGTGGCTCATTGCGAGGGTGTGATCAAAGCCCGCCGGATTACTCTTCGAAACAAACACGACTGTTCTCACCTTTAGTTCGTGTCGTCCTCCAGCCATCGTTCGGGCATCTTACTTGGTTTTGGACATGTGATCCTGAGTACCGAACCCTCTGCGCTGTTTCCAAGTGTCAGAAGGTCGGCCATGGCCAGTCGCGATGCCGACACGCAGAGGTGTGTGTTCTCATATGGCAAGACCGGGAATCGTGAAAAAGAAAGCAAAGGCTAGTCCTTACTGCCTCGGTTGCCACAGCCAGCAAAAAGCCTTCAGCGAAGAGTGCCCGAATTGGCTCCAAAAAGCGCACAAGCCAAGAGTACAAGGCGTGAATGGCAGCTTATTTCAGGGGGCTCGTAAGACTGTCTGCCTGCCAGTTGTGACCCCAGTCTCTGGCCGGTCAGATTGGTTGGCCAATACTTCTACTGTCGACCTCACAGTACCCTCTGTCAAAAGGCAAAACTCTGCACTGAAAATTAAGAGGGTCCCTCTCACTCATATGGAACCCTCCTTTGAGGTGCCCCTCGCTAACCACTTTGGGGTTCCATGGGAACACGGGGTAGACTCTTCCTCTGCCCTCCCCTCCTCTATCCATTCTTCTCCCTCCTCACGCCCCACCCTCTGATGGAGTGTGGTGCGAAGTGCCCCCCCCCCCCGGAAGGAGGAAGCCCTGTCCGTCACCCCTCCCTCAAATCTCCCAGAAGGCTGCCGCCCAGCCAGTCAAGTCCAGCAGCCTTGCAAACCCTCTGCCATTCCTTGACCTCACCTTTTGTACCCCTGACCTAGTCCCTGATTTTGAGTGGTCTGTGCTGGATGACCGTGCCGACAATTTCCCAATATTTCCCAAACCCATTGCATCCCAGATCGTTTCAACTTCCGAAAAGCACACTACGGGTTAGCCATTTTACGCTCCCAGATTTTAAACCTCACTGTCCGTCTCAACGACAACCGATTTTATGAAACATGTCTAGTAATATGTCATAAATACATCAAAAACATCTCAAATACCCTGAAAAAAACCCCAAGGTTCTCTGGGGAGTGTGAAGATACCATCATAAAGAAAAAGAAGGCAGCATATATATCGAAGAGCCGTCGACAATAATACTATAGAGAAAAAAATGTATAAAAGTAAAAGCTCGAACTGTGGCACGTTGATGCTCCAGGGAGAGCAAAGGGCATCTTAGAAAATACGTCTCCAAAATCAACAGGCTAGAGTTGTTCGAGTTGAAGTTTAGGTGTTGTTCTTTGTTGGTTTTGATGTTTTGGAAGTTGATGTAATTTGTTTTTGATAAATTTTTCGAAAGAGATGTAGATCTAGCTATGGTGTTTGCAATGTCTATCTCTGCGTTTCTGCTTCGGTGCCATCCGAGCTGTCTACGTGCCGGATGGTCTCTGTGCGCCTTCCTAAAAAGAATTAGAGTGGAATCCTGTTATAACAAGAGGGAGGGGACTGGAGAGAAATGTCCGTTATAGTAGGATTCTCGTTATAAGGGATCCAGTAATAAATTCAATGGATATAATAAAGTAAGCTTATCTATGAGTTTGATAGTCTGTTTATTTCTTTTTGCTATCTCCCCTGATGATGATTTTGTTTCAACATGACCCCTAGGTCATACTTGATAAAAAAATCGAATCGGGTTTCTTTCTCAAGCGCTAGTGATGTTGGCAGCTCGGCGTTGGCAATCCGAAAGCAAGGGTTTTAGGGTAACTCGCCCTCTGTGTTGTCCCCCACCCCACCACACCTTATGGCGCGTTCCGTCTGCTTTCGCAGGTCACACATTCGTTCTGTCCATCAAATCACTGTGACCTCTTCATCCTGGCATCGGAGAAGTGAGAGGCAGACTGGGCTGGCCTATCACGCTATGCGTTCTGCTTGTCTGCGCTTGCCACACCCTCCCCACTCATTCGCACCGGCCTTCATTGTTGACACTTGTGGGCTCTCCCATTCTTTGTTTCGCTAGTTCTCCAACAAGTTTCTCAACTTGCAGGGCTTTACATTATAATAAGGGAGTGTATACAGACCCGGTAACCGGGAACAAAGTCACGAAGTATACAGACCCGGTAGGGGAACTCTTTTGTGATTTTGGAGGGTAGAACTAGGTTCTTCTAGATATATGACCTAGGTCTAGTTCTAGATCTAGACAGACAGAGATATAAATCATTGATCTAGTTTCGAGGCTAGCCTAGATCTAGATCTAAATCTAAGTGAAGATCGCGGATGTCTTTTCGATGAACGACCTC